AAACGGATAATATATTTCCGTGAAGATACAAATTGCAACGTAGAAGTGCAATGAAGTACGAAACAAGGTCTCGAGTTGCCGACGCGCTCACGTGCATTTCTGCGTTTATCCTGCTTAAAACTGCAAACTCAAGAAAGATAGCTGAAAATATCGGAAGGAAAGTTATTATCGTATAAAATGAACATATCTGCCAACTCACACATATCTTTCATCACATATGAATGTCGACATTCATTATGAATCTGGTTCCTTTCTAACTCTTTAAGAATATTCTGCTTCTAATATCGTGCTTTTCTTCTCATTATCTGGTAATCCACGTGAGATCGTCCATAGCTGATAATACTGTTCAAAAGAGAGAGAGAGAGAGAGAGAGAGAGAGAGAGAGAGAGAGAGAGAGACAGAAAAAACAACGAATATAGAAACGACTATAGAAAATAGAACGAATCTAGTCATTTTCTATAATTTTTAGATGCTAATGTATAAATTAGGTTTTCAAATTGTACCAGCACGTTATAATTTTGAGAAATTTGCAATCAAAATTGCAAAAAAGGCTACTTTCACGTTTTTTTATCATGTTATAATTACGAGTTATGAGGTACTGGAAAAATTGTATTGCAATCAAAATGAGATGTTAGGACACCTGTGTTGTTAGGACTTTCAATTGTTAATTAGAATTTTATGTCAGCTATCATTAATAACATATTTGTAATTAAATATGGAGTCTATTGCGAAGAAACCATAAATTAGATAACTGACAATTTACGAAACTGCTTTCAATTATGTTAATTTAAATTTAATGATTTTTTAAATCGGTGGATATGAATGAAAATTGACAAATTCAAAATGGTGGATTTGATAGCGGTGGATTTTTTTAAGTTATGATATTCTTATTCGGCGTTTAAAAAACTCTAGGAAATGGCTATACTCGTCGTCTGATGTTCAAAAAGATGATTTTTTGTCCAACTATATATAATAATTAGACGCAGAATACGAAAAGCATATCGAACAAAACGCTTCAAGCGGTTCCCGTTCCGGACATTACATGTTATCAGAACAAAAAAATAAACGAGGTGATACAGCTTCCGCGGACAACATGAAACAGGCTTTAGAGAGATTAGCAGTGTATCTTCCAGCTGTTCAACCGGATGATGATTTTTGTTTCGTTGACGATCTCGCTGAATGCACGAGCACGATTGGCTTTTCACTTGGAGCAACGATAACGTCTAATAGCGAGGAACGATCGAGCGGCTCTCGAATCGGCCAATTACGTTACCGCTGGAACTCCTCTGAACGGAACTTGATGAACATGCGGATTAGATGCGGAGAAAGTCTCGATAAAGGCGATCAATGTCAGCATGCAGATAAGGAGCGTGCAATTTCAAAAGTACATTTCACTCGCACGGTAGGAAGCAAGTTGGTGAAAAAAACAGACAATTTCGAGATAATTTCGCACGCGGTAAGACGAGTCGATTTGACATGTTCGTTATGCAGCGCCAAGTCAGGAAGCGAAATTCGATTGTTTAGCCGCGCGATAATGAGAACCGCGTTTAATGAGGATTGGATAACGTGATGTTGTTATTATGAGGATTTGAGCAGTGCAATTTTGTTACTCAATGTAGCGCCCGTTGGATAATCCGCGATACGAGATCACAAGAAATACGACGGATCGCTGCATCTTGCATGTTGTCGTAACTATTATCTCTCTGTGATACTCCTCGCACTGCCTGAGATTAATCATTCCGCGATGCAAAAATTTGTTTATATAATATCCTGTCCACACGTACCTTTCATTCGCGCGTACGTCTCTACCGCGCGCGAAATAGGGAAGCAATTGCGTCCTAACGCAATCAATGCTAATTGCTCCCTCCTTTGTACACAGCGTTGTTCGATCATTCGTCCGTAGCGTTTGCTTTTATCTAGATAAAATTATGACAATCCAAAGATGTAGATGATAATTATGTAGATGATAAGAAAGTCTTTGCACCAACTTCTTCTCTTCATCAAGATAATGCTTTAATATTATATATTGTATAATCAAATGTGCAAATCTTGAACGGAAGTGTTATCCCTGCAAAATTACTTGAGACAGCGTTCGCGGATAATTTAGATTTGTCTGCATTGCTGCGAATATGTAAAATATTGAAATCCTGTTTGGACGTCGTGGAAGTTTATGCCGCGCGTATCGGCTGGCATTGAAACTTCCGATATGTCGCATCGGAATTCTAGAGCCAGATGCCAAGAGCGATTTACATATTTGATTTGGCTGATTTTAAAGTCACACAGCGACTCGTCCGCCGCGCCGTGGCTCTTGACACGTCCGCAGAATAAGTGCTTGGACTGACGTCATTTCGGACTAGAGCGACCTCGGCGGTGACACACACGATGATTTGCTGCCTCGTGAAAGCGCGAGGTCACGTTTGAAAAGCGATTATCAATTCGCTTAATGTCCACGCGCTCACATCGGTCGAGCGAAGTAACACGAGCTGCGTGCAACTTACCTCAGGTAGCCGCATCTACTCGCGTCCACGAGTACGTTTTACCTGCGATCCTAATCAATTGAATTCAACGAGCCGAGTGTCTCTCCTCGTTCTCCTCGCTCTGATGAAGCGATCATAATCGGCGGGCTACTGTTGTGAGGCGCAATCCGCCGTATCTGTGAGACGCGCGAACAATCGACTCTCATCGAAGCCCAACCTCAGTCTCCGATGTGTATCATTCAGATCGATTAAACAGCCCGTCATCTTGCTCGCTAGAAAGCCTCGCCGAGGCGGTGATGTAGCAGACCGAATGAGTTCTCCTCATGAGCGAAACGGCACTTGCTTTCCAAGCCGATCGGCCGCCGGTTATCGTTTCCATCCAGTCACGTGAGTAAGAGTCGATTCGGCGGGCATCAGCGAAAGCGAAATTGGCGTTCCATTCGGACCAGCGAGGAGGAGAAAGGTCGGGAGATGAAAGTCTCGGTACGCTCGGCTGAGATGGAGCATGGTCCAGTCGCTGGGGCTGAATGGTGGGACGCTACGGGCTCGGGGAGGAGGGGGGGGGCCCTCCAGGTGTAACTTTCACTCTTGTCGTTACACCATAACGCTGTCTCTGACATATATTTCGAACATACAGGTCGTCCCGTGCGTTGAGTGTGAGAAACACAGAATCCGCGGGGCGTAACTGAATCGCGTCCGAACGGCCACGCGGAAAAAGTTATCCGATAGTCTTGGTCACCAAGCCTTGGTAGCACGCAGAATACCGGCCCGTCCTCGGGTGAGGGAAGATACGTCATGGCTTATCGTGCTCTGTGGCAAACGAAATCGAAACACCTCGGCAGTTGTCCACGGGGTGCGCGTACGGTACCGTTGACGCCGGCGACGTCCGCGTCGACCGCTACATCGCAAGAGTCTCGCACGACTGCCGACCGACAGTGGTGCAGTGATTTATGAGACTTAGCCGTCATCTCGTCTCTCGATCGTCGCTAGCCTCATCATCGTCGTCCATCTTCATTAACTCCACGTCGTCGCTATCATCATTACCGTCACCATAATCATTATCATCATCATCATTATCATCATCATCATCATCATTGCCATCATTATTATTAGGAATTTTTAGATTTCCAGATTGTCATATCCGTTTCTTATTGGTCACTTCATTCGCTCTTCATCACCTATCGGAGTGACAGAGCAAAGGAGAACGCTTTGCTATTCAGCGCTCGAAGTCGTCCTTGTTTTCATCGCCGATTGCATTATCACGTTGATTACCGTGTGGTATATAGTTTGCCGTCTAAACAATCCGCCGTGATTCCGACGAATTCGCATGCAGCTGTGTGTGAGCGGGCGGAACCAATCCTACTTGCTTTGTCGATGATGCAGAACGGGCGATTTATATTCTAACGGAAAGAGCCGGCGTGCTGTTTCATTTGTCGTCGCTTCTGCTTCGCAAAATGTCGCTTGGTCTCATTGAGCAAGCCGCAAATTGGTTTGCATCCTTCGAGCTCACTAGCGGAAAATTGCACAGCCAAATGTAATTCGGAATGCACCGATGATTTGCGGTTGCGTCCTTAAAAAGCTCGGAACTGATGCGGCGAGTACGGTGAAGTTTATCTTGCCGATATTTTTGCTCCAACCTGTATTCGCTTGTTCATCCCTGCGTTTGTATTTCCATTGTGTTTCTCGGGAGAGCCAATTCTTCTCTTCCTAGACGGGTTTCGCTAATAAAAAAAACCCGTTCATCCCCTCACGTTGTGTGTCATAGGCGTACTCTCTGTTCTCGGTAATGAGAAAGAGAGAAGGGACGCGCGCAGGAAACGCGAAAGAGAACGGGAGAGAACGCCGTTTCTGGCAATGAATTTCGGGCTCGGTGTTGTTCTCATCAGTCGTCGTCGGAGAGTGTGACCGTGCCCGCGGATTTGTTATATCGACTCCATGTAAATGTCCGCAGTGGTGCAGTGACTGTAAAAATCTGCATCCCCTTTTCGACAGTTCTTCTCGATTTACGTTCCTCGCCGTCGCGATCGCGCCGATCGATCGTCGAGATCTCCCTATTTCCTCTCGGTCACTTTTGTGTTCTTCGTCGCGTTTTTCGAGGCGTATGCTGCTTTTCGATGGATAACCGCTCGCGTGCGACACAATGGTCCACCTTGCGACGACTTTTCGATCGATACGCAAATACAGATTTACGTTCAACAGAAAGAGAATATCTCTGGCCGATGCGTAGAAATAAATAAGAAATAGAACGGGATGTAGAATCTGGAAGACGGATTGCAAGGACGACCGTTTCAATTCGATCATTCAGGCGTTTTCCTCAATTTTATTTTTGTCGATTGCGCGAATTTTACTTGCCGCATTATTCTCAGGTGTTTTATTTTTGCCGATTGCGTGAATTTTATTTGCCGTATTATATTCTCAGGTCTATATTAAAATTGGCGCGAGGCACTACCGTGCCTCTCGATTTGCGGGAAGTTGAGAAACAAATATACGTGACACTTATATCTCGGTAGTGCACTTTGATCAAAGCTCATGTGCGATTCTAATACCTATACTACGTACGGATATCCATTTTGTAATTAAAGATATAATCTACATGTGCGTGCTCGATATTGCGGCGTTGCATAACATTCCATGGTGGAATTTTGTGATATGGTTTTAATGTCTCCCACTGAATGATAACACTGGTTTCCGCTGGAAAAATTCTCAGACACCTAACTCTAAATTGATATGTATCATAATCGATGTAAATGTGAATAATGCTTATAAAAACGTATCACGCAAAGATTATGTAAAATTTTACATAATGATACTGGCACCGCGTTTAACGGAAAATGAGAATAATGCGATTAGGCATACGACCGCCTTGACCTTCTTTCCGGTGTGCTTTTGATTTTCTCTCGATCGTGTAACAACCATGCGCCATAATCTAACGATACTTTCCACAGGATAATCGTAACTTACTGCACTCGCACCGCCGGGAAAATGTGTACCGGGCAGTTTTTCAGCGAGCTAACAATTACAGTCGTGATCGAACGTGCGCGGATGTGATTTTACATGTGGCACAATCGTGCCGCGAAAGTCAGCTCGCGAAGAACAGCGTCCGACGATGCCATCACACTTCGTGATCGATGATCGCTCGCGGTTTCGCTGCATTTCCAATTATTTGCGAATTATCCACTCGTTTCCCGCGAGAACTGATCGGCGAGTGACGCGGCAGTTGCGAAATTGACCTCTTTAATTGGGACGATCAACAGCCAGCTGTCGCACTTTCGGTCTCGGTTATACGAGCTTTCTTACTTTCAGGATCGGCTTTCTCTCCCTTGACCCCATCATTCCACCTTCGACCCACTGTCTAACCTTCGAGGCCTTCGGGCGCAGAAAGTCGTCGTGACGTGCTTTCCTTCGCGTCGTTGACAGAAGCTCGTCGTGCGTCGCGAATCGGCAATAAACAGTGCGCGCCGTACGCAAATAACAGATGTATGTTCGTAGCTTTCATCGACTTGTTTACACGGTCGACTTGGTACGTTCTGTCGAATTTTTCGTTGCTGACATAAGTTTCGTCTAGCGTCTTTAGATCAATTCTCGAGGGCCCTCCCCCCCCCGTCTGGGATTAGAATGCCGTCTCCTCTTGTTATCGTCGCATAACAACGTCAGTAGATGATGTATCCTCCCAAGCGCGTCCACCATCACGCGGCGGCGGCGACACCAACCACATACATCTTGCGATGTCTCGTGGTTGTAACTATGATCGCGGCTGCGGCGACGTTTTTGCATATTAACAATTACAGGCCCAGTAAGTTGAAACTGTTATTTGCCGGGGAGTAACAAGGGGAGAAATTTGGGATTTACGCTTTACGCACAGAGAGAACGATTTAGTTGAATCTGAAACAAATGCTTATTTGGAATGGTCCAAATAAATTTTTTGATTGATCGAACGAAGTTTTGTTTGACGCAACAAAAATATTTTGTTGCAGCTTAGTTCCAACGAAATGTTTTTGTTGCGTCAAACAAAATTTTGTTCGACCAAGCAAAAAATTTATTTCGACTATTCCAAATAAGCATTTGTTTCAGATTCAACTAAATCGTTCTCTCTGTGCGTGAAACTCGCGTTGCAACTCGGTGCGGTCACTGATTATTCCTCGTTACAAAGGCGGAAGTTGGAAAAAAGGTGTTTCACATAACAGGGTAGAAAGTACCTGGGCGCCAAGCGGCGATTTTAGTCATGGATGCGGCGATATTAGATAATAATGCGGCAGCCGCTCGCCGAAGATTGATCGGGAAGGATTAAGGATTTCTAACGAGACCGATAATGGTCGCTACACGATAACGATAAAAGCGCGCAACTTCGACTACAATTCGTACGGCATCGATACGCGTGTCATAATGCACGCATTAACTTTTCTGTCCTGTACGGTACTTTCTATACAGATTCTAACTTTCATCTCTCTCTCGCTTGTTGAACCGCAATATTTTTCACCGTTTAAGCCATACGCACAAGAAAACCGCTTTCATCGCGCGAGATTCTTGTCGCGAAGAAGAGGTTCTTTCGCACTTCCCTCTCTCTCTCTCTCTCTCTCTCTCTCTCTCTCTCTCTCTCTCTCTCTCTCTCTCTCTCTCTCTCTCTCTCTCTCTCTCTCTCTCTCTCTCTCTCTCTCTCTCTCTCTCTCTCTCTCTCCTCTCTCTCTCTCTCTCTCTCTCTCTCTCTCTCTCTCTCTCTCTCTCTCTCTCTCTCTCTCTCTCTCTCTCTCTCTCTCTCTCTCTCTCTCTCTCTCTCTCTCTCTCTCTCTCTCTCCCTTTCTTCCTCTTTAGCCTGTCTGGTTTTCTTCTTTCCAGAGCAAATATTCCTCTCCTGCGACAGGCCATGTCATCACTTGGATTGGCCCATGATTTGCCGGGTGAAACTCACCTTAGAGGTCTTCCAGTCGCTCAGCAAGTAAGTTGAACCAACATTCAGACAAAACTTTGTTCTTCTAAGCGCGCGTTTGCGATGATAGTCTACGAGTGAGACACGAGTCTCTCGTACGTGAATTTTCACGGCTTCGACATGCACGGAGACTGCGAATCTCTGATGAGTTTCAAAATTATTTCCTATATAATTTCCTATATCTTGGACTTTTTATACATGTAACAAAGTAGCTCTGCGCCTGTAAAATGTCTCTTCTTTTTGCATAATAATGTAAAAATACTGAAAGTGAGCAGCGCTTAAAGGCGCTTGTGAAGTGGGGTATTACGCTTTATTACGTTACAGTTATGCAGCGTGGCATTGTAACGTTTACGTAACAGAAACGTTAGGAAAGTGAAGAATTCGGAAGTAGATGTTACTTTTATATAATTGCAAGTGAATATTGCGCGGATGTACACAGCGCGTTTAATGACGATTACGTAACAAGTACTTCAACCAATTGTTAACTGCAATGTTACGCTATTGTATTTCCTTTGATATGCATTATAAAAAATAAACAGCACGCACAAAGTAGACCAACATGTGCGCATAAGGAGAACAAAGCTTCCGCTATAGAAATTCAACTATATCAAACAAAAATTAAGGACATGTGGTCAAATTCCTCAGCTTTCGTGTTTTATTTTCACCGTGATAATTTGATGCATCAAACAAGAATTAAAGACTGCGTGTCCAGTTCCCTTTTCAGCTCTTGCGCAACTCACTCATACGTGGCAGGACGAATGAGTAAATAAAATTATCCAAACATTACATTCGTCCGCGCGGAGAGACGAATGCACCGGCGGCGAATATATAATAGATAAAAGTAAAAGTGCATAAAACTGCAGCTGCATTGTGCAAAGGAAGCCTGGCGAATATTTTCTCCACGCAGCGTTGTGCGCGTCTAGCAAAATTACTACGTTGCGGATGGCCCGTTTTTGCGGTTGCACCAGCGAAGTATCATTTTTACTGTTACGTTAATCATGCAACTGTCAGAGGAGCACAGTGTTCGATTTCGAGCTTGTCGGTGCAATAATCGTTACGCAATCCTAATAATCGTCAACCTCAATCGTGCAACGCGGAAGACTCGCGATTGATCACGCGCCGGCCTGTGTAAGATGGGAAGCGCGACTGCTGTGGCATCTAATACCTAAGATCGAGAAAATCCAAGCAGCATGCCGTCGTATCTCTCACAGTCATTCTGAGAAAGACGGATGGTGTTACGCAAGAAATGCGCAAATGTTTCATCGAGTAATATAATTCCGCCTGTTGACGCAATTCTTATGCCTACTCGACGTAATCCCCAAGTTTCGTGCGAACACTTCGTTTGTACGACGCCCTCACCTATAATTGATACTTTGTATAACTTTCATTCCTCTCTCCCATTCCTTTCCTTCAATTACGATGAAAAGACTCCTCTTTGCACTTGTATCCTCGTGAAAATCGGGACACGAGGAAATTAGCAATTAGGCTCGAGATTGCGCAAACCTCGACACATAGCGGAATATTTCTCTACGCTATTCTCGACAGATCATGCGGAGATTGCCCGTTGAATCAGACGGCTTGCTTGGCAAATCACTGCGTCGCCGCGGATGGACAGAGACGGGGCATCCTTACGGCCAATCGTCAGATGCCAGGACCTAGTATCCAGGTATGACCTCGATACACACCGCTGGTCGATAGCGCGAGCGCGTTACAATTGTCACCGCGGATTCGGCAAATCATCGTGAGGCTTCTCTGATAGTCTGATGTCGCTTTTGATGACTCTCTTTGCTTCGCTCGCTTTACATTTTGTTACAACGGTTTCCCTCGTCGAGGGGATTCACAAAGACGCTTCGAGATCTTTTATTATACAACTCAAAATATCTGTTATTTCGAAGAAACCATTTAACATTGAGCTACACGATTTTTCGTCTTTTCATGTTTTACGATACAGAATTCTATGAGCCGAATCTACGAAACGAATTTTTGCAAAATATGGAAGATTTCGTATTCGGTATTGAAAAGAGAGAGATATTCTCGAAACGTGAGTGACAGGGAAGTATAAATGCCTCAATGTTTCAACGATCGTGGTTATTCGTGCTACCGATGTCATTTCAGAGAATTATTGCACAAATTTCACGCAGCCGAGTGCGACTCGACATGGCTTCGCCGTCGAGACAGCAGCGTGCCGCCGCTTTCAACCGCAACGAGACCTGAGCATTCCGTCTAGTGTTAAAATTAACCCTTGCATGGCGTGTGATCGAGGAATGTACACACACAATGCACCCCTCTGTAATTAATCGCGCCGCTTGAATTCGCGGATACGATCTCTCGCGTGTGTGTGTGTCTTGTTTAACCGCGCCAACACTTTGAAACGAAGGGAGTGTTATGTCAGGTCTCTGATCGATCTTCTCGCCCGCGAATATTCCCCGAAGCTCCAGAAACGTTGATCTTGAAACTAGATGGCTTATTCCGTCGCGTGGAATCAAGCGTCGATCAGCGTTACTTTTCACGGTTCTTTGTGCCGAAATCGGCACAGCGATCTCTCGAGGCGCTTTTTCGAACGTTATCGCCTATCGTATCGAGACTTTCGAATCAGCGCAAGTATATAAACTTGGAAAAGTGGATAGCAACTTTCTGAGAAATATAGCCTCTGCAGTGCTTCGTGTAACTGTCCGGTCTACTTTTTCGATTTTACGTTTCGGCGGACTGTGCATCTCGAACTTTCTGCATATGATTCTTCGTTTCCTTGAACAATTGAAAATTCAACAGTACAGTTTCGAGAGTAGAATAATTATGGAGTGAAAGATAATTAATGAGTGTACTCGGTTCGCATGTTTTTTGACACTTCAACTGCGATATTCGCTCGCGCGGCTTGATGCTTTCATGTCAGAAGAATCGCGCGAAGATCTTCGAGAAGTGACAAGTCCGGAGGTGGCATCTTCCTCTCGGGCTAATTGGCGAGCTCGAGCGAGCTCGGGCGAGCTGCCAGACAAGCTTACACTCTCTTACAGGTTTGTGAAAACGACATCCTGGTGGTGGATGTGATTAATCGTCTTCCGGGTAAGGCCACGGCGGTACATTGGCGTGGGCAAACACAGCTGGAGATGCCGTACATGGACGGCGCGCCGTTGGTAACGCAGTGCCCAATACCGAGTTACACGACTTTCCAATACAAATTTCGCGCTTCCGTACCCGGCACACATCTCTGGCACGCGCATGCAGGTTCGTAATTAGCTACTCATCTATATGCTACACAGCTATGCGACCAACTAGAGCAGAATGCCAGTTATATCTTGCGCGCGCGCGTATGCGATGCGTGTGCAAATAAAAACGTTAAATCGCTCCAGTTCGCTAATCGCGAAACAACAGTCGAATATCAAGCGAGCGCGTCCACGATAATGCTGCGATAAAGCAGTAGCTTTCACACATTTCTCGACGGCATTGTTTGTTAAGTTAATCGTTCAACGTGTCCGGCACCGCGTGAGCGACGACCCACGTTGGAACTTCCGCTCGTATCGTTTCGGATATTCTCGCTGGTGAGGGAAACGTTATCGCTAAGGCGAGTGGGAAGTTCGATGGAATTCGCTGAGATAAGATCACCCGTTCAAGAGACTGTTCATTAAAATGATATATTGTTACGAAACTAATTAATTAAGACGTCATCGACCCATGGACGATTCGAACTTTCGGTAAAAGCGTGTATTTTGGCTCTGAGATCCAAAACAACGTCATGGTGTTCCAACATTGTATGCAAATTTATAACAAATAGTTAAATTTAATAAATAATTTAATTTATTTTATATCTGTTAGGCTAATCTGAATTTTTCACCGACTCACAAGACCGATTCTATATAAAAAATAAATAAAAAGGTCTTAGTAAATATATGTCCTCAAACGCTTAGTTTTTGTCGCAATCTCAGTTTTGGAAAAATATATTTTATTCATTAAATCGTGTCTTCTTATGCGAGTAAGTAATTAGACTAACACTGTTATAAAAATATCCGCAAAGCTGTCCTTCTCGAAAGCTGTCAAGGGGAAATACGTCTTTTCAATTTTACCCACGACAAACGGTAAATAAAATATATTAACGTTGCAACGAGTGATTTTTCAGTTAATATTCAGAAATTATCAAAATTGATTGGCATTACTAATTAATTAAAATCGATAGGTATTAGTTTCAAAGACAGGTAAGAAGGTGGTACTAGCATTCTTAATCTCAAAAATCAAGCTTTCGCAGGCATATATTTACAAGGACTCGTCTACGTACTTTCCAACACAGAACCTCGACAGAGTTCAAATACACCCTCTATATTTGACGCGTATTGGTGAGCTCTTCCACCTGGTGGAGCGCACGCGACACGCGACTTCTTATCAAACAGAGAAGTTACTTCTCAGCAACGAAACTTTTCAGGCGCCGACGTCAGCAACGGCATCTTCGGCGCGCTTGTTGTGAAGCAAGCGGACCTTCGGGAGCCCCATCGCGCCCTTTATGACATCGACGACCTTAATCACGTAGTTCTGGTGACCCAGTGGCAACACTCGCCGGAAGTATCGTTCAATCAGGGCCACACAAAGCCGGCGATTCTTCTGATCAATGGGAAGGGTCGTCAGCCGGGCGGACCCTCGGTACCCCTCACGACATTCACGGTCGTTCCCGGGCGACGTCACCGATTCCGCGTTGCTAACGCCGGAGGCGCCGGTGCGTGTCCCGTGACGTTATTCATCGACGGCCATTCGCTTCTCCTGATTGCACTTGACGGACATCCCATAGAGCCGCGACAAGTCACCTCGATAACGCTGGCCAAAGGTTAATATTCCGTTAAATCTTCCGTCTCTCTCTCTCTCTCTCTCTCTCTCTCTCTCTCTCTCTCTCTCTCTCTCTCTCTCTCTCTCTCTCTCTCTCTCTCTCTCTCTCTCTCTCTCTCTCTCTCTCTCTCTCTCTCTCTCTCTCTCTCTCTCTCTGTCTCGGTTTCAACGATCAAATCTCTACACGGTAATTCAAAACGCATGACGTTCCTCGAATTTTATGATAACGTCTTCGCGATATTCACGTGAAAGTTGAACGTGTTCTCCGTGAGGATTTACAAGTATTTATGCTACAAAATAGATTTATCTTGTTTTAATGTTAGAGATATTATTGAAAAGCAGACACCGTCTCGCAGCGTGTTTTATCGATCGCGAGTCTTTTTGATTGTAAATCTTCCTCAGATTTCATTCGATGACGCTTGCTTTCTCGTTGGTTGTTTCCGCTTTCGAATGGCGAGTCTGAAAAAAAGCGTGACCCGCAAACTTCTGCCTTTCTTGAGTCTCGCTGTCTGCTCGAGCGACGATTTATCGCGAAAAACCCGGAGATTTGCAGTTTCGCGCGTCAAAGCGACGAGCGTAACGCCGCGTTTTCCTCGCCGCGAAGACAAGATCTCGTCTCGCGATTCCTGTTTTGCGTCCGCCTACGTCGCGAATAACGGCAGAATGACGAGCGCTTCCTGATGTTCGTTAAAGGTGAAAGGGCAGACTTCGTGCTCAGAGCGAGTCAACGCATCGGCTCGTACTGGATGCACGTTCATACGGCGAAAGAATGCGGAACGAGCACGGTAAACGGCGCGGCGGTGCTCAACTACAAAGGCAGCACGGAAGTCCCGGCGGACACGACGGACGCTATCGATCAGCGGGACATCGACGAGGTGGAGACGACCAGGTTGGCCGCGACCACGAATCCCGTGGACAAGTGTGGCGGCCGTGAGAATCTGTGCGTCATGGACGTGCAAAACGTACGCAAGATGCCGCACGTCCTGGCCAAGCCCAGGATGGACGTGACGATGTACCTGCCGATTAATTACAGAGTTAACCAGGAGACCGAACTAATAGGTGAGTAAGCGGCGGTACGAAAAGAAGCAAAAAAAGAAAAGAAAAGGCAAGAAGAGGAGGAACGCGTACGATGGGAGTGAAAGTACAATTAAGTCGATCCGCAGTTTATGAGCCGTGCGGCATTAATTAGCACGGACAGGCATGTAACGTCCGATGGAACGCTGAATAAGAATTTTTAAGTTTCACCGCGTAGAGATCACGCTTGCGGCATTGACTTCTGCGTAAGATTCGTTGATCCGAGTTATTAAAAATCTGCTCCGTTGTCTGCGGCTCGCGCGGATTCCGTTTAAGAAGAGGCGCGCGGCGCTTTCACTCCTCTCGACACTGCTGCGCTTTTATGTCGACGTCAGCTCGCGGAGGACAAGCTTGATCTCTGCCGAACGGACGATTGAACGCGCGTGAAACCGTCAAAAGACAGAAACGAATTTCACCGAACAGCTTCGTCTGACGACGGCTTGCTGAAGAACACAAGAGCGGAGGATGCAAAAGGACTCGAGCGCGGAAGACTCCCTCGGAGACTCTCGTTTATTATTCATTAATGCCGAGAGAATCCGAATGATCGCCAAAAGCGAGTGTTGACTTCAAACTAATGAACTTTTTCACGGTAAGTTTGCAAAGTAAATACACTCGGAAGTGATCAGCAGCTACTCGCAGCAATATCGAGAGTACGGCGGTGTCATGTGAGTAGAGCTTATGTCATGATCGATCGTCGTTGTAAAACATCACGCATGCGGTAGAAAACTCCGGATGCTCGCCCGCGCGGGTCGAGGGGGGACCATTCTCGCGAAAGTAACGCGCGAACGGGAGCGATAAGCGACAAATCTTAATCGCGCAGCGGACACGACGACTTAATTGCCATTCTTTCTATCCAGATAATGGCGGGGCAACGCGGGTATTGAACGTGGACAACGCCACTTTCACGTTCCCGTCGTCGCCGCTGTTGACCCAGGGCAGCGACGTGTCCCCGGGGATGCTATGCTCCAGAGGCGAGCACGACGGCGACGAAGACGAGCGCGGGGGGAGCAACGAGGGCGCGCTGTCGCGACGTCCATGCCGCGCCGTCGACGACGCCAACGGTGCGAGCGACCTGTGCGAGTGCGTGCACGTGCGTCATGTGCCGCTCGGAGCTACCGTGGAGATCATTCTCTTGGATCAGGGTAATTAGTTTCACTCGGGAGTAATCGAAGCGTCAGCCTGCGATGCGACATGAGCGTTTCGTATCTTTGCGGACTGCGCACGGCGAAAAATATTAGGTCGAGCGAACCGGTTCTCTCTCCGTTGAGATACGAGAACATCACGGAAGTGCTGGTGGAACTTGTCAGAATCCAGTCCAAATTATCCAGATCTCTGATTAACCTCAATCGAAATCCGATACTTTCAGCTGGAATTTTTGAACCACTTGCATTTCACTCTTGTCGGAAAGTCGGCTCGCTTGAGCAAACATTTTTCTCCGTGTTCGCATTTCTCCTCGAACCTTCCTTTCCTTCTCCACACAAAGACCATGCCCACTTTATTGCGTGTTTGCTTCATTCGGAGTGTAGGAGGGTGAGAAACAGGGCGGGAAGTATACTTTCCATCCTCTCGCGGGTGAACTTAACTCTCGACATATTTTCACGCACAGAGGAGCAAGTGTTTGGTACTCGTAACCATGTGTAATCGTGCAGTGAGAGAATTATAGTTAGCGAGATATCGCAAGTTAAATGTTGAAAATGTTATCAAGTTTTCCTTAAATATATCTCAAAAAATAGGCAAATAAAAGAATGTTTCAGACAAAAGTGATTCAAATTAATTGGTAAAATCGGGTTATAATCGGGAGAAACATTTTTGCAACAAGTATTACTATAATGTTAGCGATAATAACTATATAATATATAATATATCGTAGCTACTACTTTTTTACTGAAACAACAAGAAGAAGTTGAGGTCAGAGATAATTCTGGTAACATTCACCGCTTTCTTTTTTCTTAATGTGATCTCACGAGTGTCCAGTTTTCTTCGCTTATTGGTCGTAAAACGAATGATACGAGGGACGATAATAAAGAGAAAGGAGATTCGCGGTCACTATGTCAATATGTCGGTCATGCGAAGGAGCACTTTCTTCTATGCAAAGGTCGTACGAGGTGGCTCATTAGACTAATTATTATGTAACTATTAATCGATGACGCACACGTGCTCGGGATAATCCCGTAGCGAGCGAGATAAGAGGGGATATTAGCGCGCGATATAGCGTATAGGCTTGACCGAGGGATGCCGATGTCCTTGATCTACATCCCGTATTTGCCGCGAAAGCTGGAATTATTGATCGAGAAGCTTCTTCGGCCTCTATAAATCATTCCCGCTCGAGGAATGTGTGTTGCATGCTACTTTTTTTCTTTTAGAGCGACATTTGGCACGTCATTGCGATTTCTCGCAACCCGACGCGACGACACTGCGAGCTAAAAGAAAGCCCGCGATTCCCAACGACCGGACAATTGGTCTTCCTTATAGAGCTTCGCAATTAAATCGCGCACGAAGTAATCGTCGCCGTCGCCTCAAGCGCCGGCTCGCAATGTCTCTCGTGAAATTATGTTTTTGCTCTATCTAGCGATCCATCTCAAGCCAATTAGACCTGCACGCGTGCAGGTGCACTGCCTTGTTTCGTATTTTCTTAATGATGAAAAATAATATAAGATAATAATATAAGAAAATAATATAAGATAATAATATGGAAAATAATATAAGATAATAATAATAATAGTGTGATATCTTGTCGTCATGTCATAGGTGGCCTGGACGACTTGGTTTACCATTTGCACGGCTACAGTTTTTACGTGGTGGGCGCCAGGCAATTTGGACGAAGCATGTCACTGCAAAATATACGGAATTTGGACAAGAGAATGCAGCTGTTCTCGCGAAATCTCGACTGTGCACCAGCCAAGGATACCATCGTTGTGCCGAAATTTGGAGCAGTAGCGCTGCGATTTAAAGCCGATAATCCGGGTAAATTATTCAATTTCACGTAAATTATTCAGATGATGAGGTTACGCCAGAATCCTTGTCTTAACGGATCGATCGTTAGGAAAGTCGAAGTTTCAGTATTACATTATTAACGAGCTTTTGGGTTATCAAGGATACGAAAGTGTCTCGCGCGAACAAAATTTTAGAGGTCTCGGTCAACTTGTCGTTTCTCTGCCAATAAATTTGTCGAGGAACAATCGATTATAAATTTGTCAAAAGCACTGGGGAGGGGAAGTAGCAACAATCGATCTGGTAACGAAATTACTTTAAATAACACATTGAGATTTTCCGAAAACCTTAATAGCTTCCATCGAAGAATGTTCCGTACAAAAATTTTGTAATTTTATAAGGAACATTATTTTGATTTTAGATAAAAAGTTTGAAGGTTACACGAAGATCTTCCCAAATTTCTAAGACAGAAATCCTCATTTTTCATTCGATAATCTTGTTGTAGTCGAGGTTAAGGCGTTTTTGAGACATTGATGGCAAACTCTTGTGCAATGATAACTTTCTGAGTTATAAATCTTCAAAGTTTAAGTACCACCGGCATTAGTATTACCCAAGGCGCACCACGCGGAAATTGTTTGATCGAATTTACGGCACTTATATGTATATGTATATATGGGAGTGTGTCAGCAGAGATAAGAATATTACGGTTTGCTATTCTCGTAATATCAAATGGCCTGAATCCTCTTTCATTCTCTCTATATGTACATGTGTGTGTGTGTGTGTGTTCGCAGCATAAATTTGTAATTTCTCAAATGCTGAAAAACATTTTACCTCACTTTCTTTACCTCAAGGCAGTGATGCAATCGCCTTTAGCAAACTCGTGATCTGAGTTGCTAATAAGACATCTTTAGAAATCAGTCTGCAAGCATCAATGATTCATTCAGTCTTCCCGACTTCTTTAGACATTAGCTCTCTTATAAAAATTAAATGTTCTTAAGCATTTGAGACGTTACAAACTCATGCACATGCACAACCACGTCAGGTAATCTCTGCGTGCTACATCTTGGATAATGCTAATACCGACGGTGCTTAAACTTTGGAGACTCATAACTCGCGGGAAGTTATCGATGTGGAAGAGTTTTTAATCAGTGCTTCGAAAATGCCTCGGTTAGAATTTTATGGGTTAAATATGCAGATTAGTGGTACCACCTCTTCGATGTCTCCGACTACTGCATATACGTTATTAAGGAATTTCCATCCTCACCCCCAAAAACCCAACTCCACACAAAACCTTATATCATTGTTATTTTGGCTTTTACATAAATTAACTTGTAGTATAGTAATCGATTCTTCGAACCTTTTTAGTTAATAACTCTGTTTTACAAGTGGCAACCGTCACCTAAAAATTTTAAAGGTTACTCATAATGACAATAAGCGAAGGTCAATCGGATTATATCGGAGGTGGCACCTTAGTAATCTTCATACTTACCGATTATGGAATAAAAAAATTTCCATTTAAGAAGATAAAGAAAACCTTCATGTTTTGACCTTCAAGCGACTATAGAAAATCAAACTGTCTAAAATTAAACTAATTGTACCATCTTATGCCCCCGTCGGGACTACAAACCTTTCATACGAAACATTATTCAACGGAAGCTGTGGTTTTCGAGAAACCTCAAGTTGAAACGAGCCATCCGAGTATAAGAACACTAGTTGCGGAGCAATTCGATGAAATTACTACTTTCACTTGGTTTCGTAGGTTATTGGATGTTACGAGATGAACACGCGGCTGATTGGACCCGCGGTTTAGATGTTATTCTGCAAGTCGGTGATCCTAGCGACATGGTGGCCGCACCGCAGGACTTCCCCAAATGCGGATCCTTCGTTGGACCCGATTATTTTCTTATATAGACTGTTACTTCATTAATTAGTAAATTAATTATGTATATAGTTGTATATAACAATAGCGTTCCAAACACATACCTAATCGCAAGCAAATGAATTTTCTACGACCTTTTGTATGAATAAATATTCGCTTATATGTGTAACTTGCTCGCGATTGCCTTTTCCTTCTCGAAGAATCTCTTTCTCTCTCTCTCTCTCTCTCTCTCTCTCTCTCTCTCTCTCTTGTAAATTTTTGCACTATCGTAATTTCCTTCCTCGCAAAAAAGAAAAAAAAAATCGATTGCGTATCAATCTTTCTTCACATTTCTAACTTCGTTCTCAATTTTAATTAACTCAATATAACCCAGCGGTGTGTGAATTATTCCGGGGGTCCCCGAGCGTGGTTGAAACGCGACGCAACCCCGTAGTTTCCAGGTTAATAATTAAATCCCGCTTAAAATTATGGTTGCATCATAGCGTTTCGTAGCAAATACCTGCACTCTGAGCTTCGGGTGCACTCTTCGGGTGCGTTCTTCGCATCCGCGATGCTCTCGTTCGCTTCTTACACGTCGAACAGACGAAAGACGCCGCATCCGCGGTTCATTTCAGCGCGCACGTCACTCACTTCCGCGCGCATCTTGACGTGACTGGATGCTTGTGCGACTGCAATCTGTGACTCGTTCCTCCGCGGTGTCGGCAAATCTCGAAGGACCGAGCTGACGGCCGAGCACGTCAGTGATGTCCTGTCTGAGCGCGCTGTACTGGCAAATAACGACCCTGTTCTCGGTGCCCCAGCAGCTGCTGCTCTTGCGGCACAAGGTCTTCCGCGAGTACGCCAAGATCGCGGTCGGACCGGATTTCATCCACACGTTCCCCTCTATCCTGATCCTGACGGCCGCAATAGTCATCCTGTGGAAGCATCCGCCGTCCAACGGCCGGCTCATGCATCTTTTAGGCGGCTCTTTCGCGTACAGAAGCCTTCAGGTACGGAGATTCCTGCGATATATGTCGCCCTAACGCTCCTTCACGTGCACGCGCGTTCTTCAAGGTGTTGGTCAGCTGGCTCGCGATTAATGCGCTTTTATGGCTGTGGCTGATCCTCCAGAGGGTGCTCTACTGCAGCGTCTGGCATTATTGGAGTTACGTGAGTAGAATTGTTCCTTGCAAGTCCAATCGTTTTCTTTCGCGAGTGACGTCGACTGAGGATCAGTCAACAATGCGCTTTCGCACAGAAAGAATCTCTTTGAGCAAAGTAAGAAATAGCCTTGTGCAGTTATCGCCAGAGAAGAGTGCGTTTCAGCGTCTCGCGGAATTAGGACGACTATGACGCGACAACTTGACACTCTATTTGTTCAGTGAAACGGCTTAGATTATCGGTTTAGAGTTTCGCTAATCAAAGACGGACAGTTATTAGCGGATTATCAAAGCGTGCTTGACATTTTCTTTTACGCTTTTATAGGTACACAGGATTTTCTCAAAACTTGCTCGACTTGAAATCATCAAGAGTCGACGCTTACTTTATTTAGCTTGAGACAGTCATTTGCAGATCTTGAAGAGTCTGTCACACTTGCTGCAGGAATTTGAACACCAGGAGATACTAAATCGCGTCTGGTGGCAACGGCTTTGGTCGTCGTACTATCCCGTTCATGTGCAACCGTCGGTGATGTCAACGGAATTTATTAGTTGGATCACCGCAATGTCGATGACGTTAACCGCGTTAGGATTTGCGATCTACATAGATCATGTGGTGACTCTCATCAAAATGACTCTGACTACAGCGTGGGATGCGCTCACGACGGTTGTTGGTTGCATGAAATGGCCATGGAAAAATGTACTATTGCCTCTGGTGTTTGGGAGGTATTTTCTCCTTTTATTCTTATCTTTTTCTCTTCATCTTCCGCTTTTTCTAACAATTTTCAGTCAACACACACGGCGTGTCTAAATCGGGCGTGTCTTTTCTTAAAACTCAATTTACGTCCTATTTAATTCGGTTGAACTACATTTTTAATCAGAGAGCGCTGAAATTCAGGTGCTAATAGTTCAAACGTTCAATAAGTCTGAACAATAAGAAATTAAACGGACCTTTAGACAGAAGAGATGTTGAAATTCTTATGTCCAGCTTCGAAATGCAGGAGACAATGGTAAGTACCGAGGCGAACATGGCGATGGAGGGCAGCGAAAGCGACTCGATTCCCGACGATATTCTCTCGAAAATGTCGGTCGATACGAACTGTCCGACGCCAGCGGATGTGCATCCAACCTCCTACAAGACTAACTGGCTGCCGCAGCCGAATTTCGCCACGTTCAAGGAGGCCCATCGAAAGATATCGATGAAGTCCTTTCACACAGTAGCAGGTGTAAACGACGTTCAGGTAACGGTGAAAGGGAGACACTTTCTTTTCATCGCTCGAGGCACACCTATTCCCGTCCCCTTTTCTCTAAATGATCCTCACCACGGTACCATGGTAACTTCCATGTAGGAAAAATACAACTTGCAGCTTTCGCTACTTTTCCTTTAATCGCTCTGAACAATAATACCGTTGTGTCGTCGTGTTCGTCCTGCGACCGAAACAATAAGTGCCGGTCACGTTCGCTGATGCAACCGTTTTATTTCCGAAGAAGCCGCTATTTCTTGAAAATTCCCTTTGAATTCCAAAGAAATTTCTATCTCTCCCTCCTCCCTCTCCTGTCCTTGTCGAATGGCCGAAAATGCGGTGCATAATCGTAACACCGATTGTCGTTTTCAGGATCCCGATAAGATCGCCGCGAAGCAAGCGCGACATCGGCGTGGCTGTCACACCATAATACCCAGCAATTCCAGCGACCAGTCGAGTGAACATTGAAGGGACCCGTCCGAAGGATGCTCGCCGAATGTATCTCACGATAATTGAATCATGCTCAACGCATGGCAAATTTATCTCTAAAGCCGAGCTCGTGTAAATTCTGAGCGAACCTTCGCCTTGAAATCGCGCGAGCGCCGCGACGCGGCTTGCATATATTTGCGAAGCTCTCGAATTTGCGTAGCTTCTCGACATTTTCTACGTCAAGTTTACGTCTAAATTTTGGACGGAAGTGCTTTGGAGAAAAATGTATTTTGAGGACCATGTTTCTCTCGGAGGAAACGATATTGTGCTCGAACGCCGATCTTGTGATAACCATCGAGAGCATCGATGAAAAACGCCCTGCACACACCCGAAGAGCACACAATAAACGCAATCGTGTTACGTAAAGACGTAACGTAACGTTACGTAAGCCCAAGATCGCGTGCCGCTTAATGTCGACTGTATTATTAGAGTTATGTATACTTTATACGAACCTTTTTGCGAATAAACGTACAAAGTTTTAGTAGCCGCGGCCGATCGATTGAGAATTCACGACTTTCCTATGACGTATCATCAGCGTGTGTGCACACACACACACACACACACACATACATACATACACCCACGCGTGTATGATAACGTCGGTGTGTATCTCGGGAAACTCGTATTTGTATAGCTCAAATTCCGCACGTGGCGAATGTAAAGCAAAAGAAGAAAACGAGTTTCTCATTGAACGTCTTTAAGAGAGCGCTTTATAAAACGCGCCATGTTATCGCGCTACGCACCAGCCTTCTCGCTCCCTTTGATTATTTATCGAGTAAAAAGTCCTGCGCCTCTCCGTCCAACCCCCAGGACTCAGCTTCGCCGGCTGGTGGGGTGGAACGGCCGAAAGGGCGCATGCGTCTGTCGGGGGTAACATACCCCATCTTGAACCGGAACATTATTCTGTAACTACATCTCTTGTGGGGTAGGTCGCAGGTATTCGCGATAAACACAACTTGCGAAACAAACATCGGTCCAAGCCGAAAGTGCACCTTCGCGAGTGTCGCCTTCGACGAGCGGAGCCGAACGGCGCGAGTCGCCGCGGGATCGATTCTCCAGCCTGAAAAACCCGTCCGGCTAGAATACACGGAGCGAGATTTGGTGCCGAAGCGGAGACAGACAGACAGAGAGAGAGAGAGAGAGAGAGAGAGAGAGAGAGAGAGAGAGAGACAGACAGACAGAGAGAGAGAGACAGACAGACAGAGAGAGAGGGAGAGAGAGGGGAGAGAGAGAGAGAGAGAGAGAGAGAGAGAAAGAGAGAGAGAGAGAGAGAGAGAGAGAGAGAGAGAGAGAGAGAGAGAGAGAGAGAGAGAGAGAGAGAGAGAGAGAGAGAGAGAGAGAGAGAGAGAGAGAGAGAGAGAGAGAGAGTCGGGCGTCAACGATCCTTCGTCGCGTAACAAACGCCCGCTCCGTCGAACGATGTAATTACGTGTGATAGAAGATTGGCCATATCAGCAATACGAGACACGAGACTCAAGACGATCACGACTGTTACACATCGGAATTCTGCGAGGATTCTGTGGTAAGAGGAATTTTGCTCAAGCAATCGCACGTTCGCGGGCGAACGTAATATCGTAAATATTCGCGCTCGTCTCGCGGTCTTTCGAGGGTGATCCGACGCTTCTGAACCGAAAATGAATCCGTGCATTTGGCGACGGTATGAGTTACGTATTCCTGCCCCGAGACGTGCACCACCCCCGGATGTATCTCGGAGGTGCGGACGCGTTTCAGTTATCGCGAGGATTACGCGCGTGTACGCGAAGCTGCAAATTTCGAAGCAGCTCGCCGTCTCCGCCGTGCGGAAATTCGTGGCTGCGAGTGCCGAACCGCTCCGTCGCGTTCTCTCGCTTTCGGTCTTAATCGATAGATGCACACGATAGATGCGTACATGTCCCGTGGCAATTCGTCAGATTATATTCCTACACGACCTACGCCATTCATTTGACGAGAGTATATTCCCCTCGTCGCAGTCAGACGTATGATGCGCGTACCAGCGCGTCCTGTGCGGAAACTTCGTCGTGGAATTATCGTGCTGCGATAACGCGGTATCGCGAGACGGTCTCCGCTGATAAATCCGCCAAACATCGTCCCTGAATACATATCCGACGGGGAAAATACGCGCGATTGACATTTCTCAATGTTTAGCGTTACTTCCGTCATCGTTGGAAAACGCGTCGCGTCGCGCAAAAGCCCGAATCACCGGCCGAATTCGAATATAACTCGAATTCAACAGTAAAATGCCAAAAATATGAAGACCGAGTAGTATTACACTCCCCTGTCGATACGAAATAATGCCTAACTCCACTAGTGCCCATCGCGGAAATGAAACCGTTGTTATCGGTCGTTAATAGCTATTAAAATGGTCGGCTTCAATATCTCTGCCGACTGTGGGAGTCGTAAAATACGCCCATGTTCCCGTGATTATTTTCGCCTCCTACTCTACAGTTCCTCAAGCTTACTCCTCTTTTACCGCGTGTGTGTTTCCTTTTAACGCTATCCTCCCTTTCTCTCCCTCTCTCTCTCTCTCTCTCTCTCTCTGCTCTAAATTAACCCGGTTGCCTCACACACGGGCACGTTCTCCGACGCAATCGCGAGTCGATTGAACGGCAGCTATATTAGCCCGGCTCGTTGCGTCGCGTACGCGAATTTCACGACGGGATTCACGGGGTCCACGTGTATGTACGTGAACGCGATGTAAACCTGATATTGATTTTGCGTTCAGCATCCAGCGCGTGGAGTGGAGCGCGCGCGCGCACGCTCGAGCGGCGCAAATGCGCGCGTACAGACGCGAACGTGCACACGCGCGCGCACCCGCATACGTGCTTCACGTGTATACACAAGTTAGCACGTGCACCCTCTTCAGCCTCGGCCCCGAATTGGTCCGGCTACAATGGAGGAAGAGGCAGGGTGGCGGAGGGTTTCGCCAAGGAGGGGAGCTTTTCAATGAGCGGGCGCGCGCGCGAGCTAACGAATGCGCGTCGCGCGGCGAGGGATAACACGCGCGAATGGTCGCGATATGACGAATGAGAAGAAACCGGTCGCGCATTACTACCAGTTTATTACCGGCTGAAAGCTGACACGCTAGTCGCCCTGACGTCGCTCTAAACGCGCAACGAAGAGGCTCGCCGGGCGACATAAAGACTCGGGAAGCGTTGAGCACTCTTTCCGAAATGACACACCCCGACATTTGGGAAGCTCCTTGGCTTGAATAATTAGCTGCCTCTTTTTTTTGGACTGTAAGCTCACCTTACGGTGCGGGAAGGGACGAAGGGGGGATTCTAGTTAAGTTTACCAACTTGGGTGTGTGAGCCGATGTGAAAGGTCGAAAGGCGCTCAGCGACGCGGGAAAAAAAGAGAGATAGTATTTCGCTATTAATTCTACGTGACCTTCGACGAAATTTCAACTGAACATTCTCTACAAAAGAGCATTTCATAATAAAAGTTTAAAGAAATGATAATAAAAATGAAAAGAAATAATAATGATGTTTGATGAGCTTTTGCGGAGGAAAATTTGCTCGGAGAAGAAAAGCAAGTCTTCTCTTCCCGAGAAGAAGACCATTATAAAACTTAAAAAGTTAAAAATTATTATAAAGATTTATTAAAAAATTATGAAACTTATATATAAAATCTAAAATTTAATTAAATCTCTTTGTCTGTGTTCTGGAAATACCGACGTCATGCATTACATCATTTCGCGTTACATCGCTTAAAGGTTAACGGTCACATACATACGGTCGATATCTTTTTCATATCGGAAATCAAAGAGGCGGATGAAGGGAAGCCGATTATTGGAAAAGCAATCTTCAAGCGACACTCGTAATTGCCCGACTCGCAATTGCGTGCCAGACCTTATCGGAACGTGGGCGGGGAAATTTATCAAATGGCAGAATCATGTTTTTCTATGAATGTAATAGAGGTCACAACGAAATACTGCCATTTGGAGTATGTACTCGTACTAGCGATTTCTCAGAAATTCGCCATTGCTATTTCAATCGAACTGATTTACGTCGGAGGTGATTTAGTGCTAACAGACGAATTAGAAGGAACTAACGGGTGTTTCGTGAAATTTCGCGAACATCCTGGAGAGATTCTTATTTTTAGAAAGGAGTTTAACAAAATAAAAAGATATAATACATATTTGGGGGAAACTTAAATTTCCTTGCAAAATTTGTGGGAAAAATAAAAAAGCCCGGAAATGTAATCCTATGTAATTTCTGTATGATATCTTTTTAAACAGTCCATTTTTAGAAAAACTATGCATGAAGTGGTGGTATAAAATCTATTTGTATCCCGTAGAGATATATTAATCTTTCGTCGCTTTATCTGCCTTGAGACATCGCGTGAATCCTCCGTGGCAGCGGGATTACCTTAAAACATTGTGACATGGCGGAACAATTTTACAATGATCGATCACGCGAGATCGATTGCCGCGCGAAGGTCGCGCGAAACTACGTTTCGTCCTACCAATTACATCCAAGGACCGCCGCGCTCCTTTCTATACTCCGTGTCCTCTTTCGGCGTGTTTCAGACCCTATGGCGGAAAAAATGTATTACTGGGGCGAGGAGAAGGATCAAGTCGACCCTGACCAGACCTTCATAGAGTTCAAGGCCAAGTCGGTGGGGACGGAGAAGAGACGCGAGGCGACCCGTTCCGTGCCGAAAATGACAGTGTCTTCGCCACAGGGGAAAATGACCGAGATTGCCGGAAACCGGGAGGAAGACGCCGAGCGCGGCGGTTGGGATAACAAACTCGACTTCCTGTTTTCTTGCATCAGCGTGTCCGTGGGCTTGGGAAATGTCTGGCGGTTCCCTTACCTCTGTTACAAAAACGGCGGCGGTAAGTTGGCGGTTTGGACGCACGGGCGCGAATTGAACGATCGATCAAAACTCCTCCCTACCTCAACGATTTCACAATTATTTCATGCACTATCTAAAATTATTTACTCTTCATTCGAATTTCTGTCAAACAATTATTTTTGGAAAACCGAAAGCAGTGAAAGAATTACAGAAATGTGTATGTGTGAGATTTAGAGTCTAACTTTAAATAGATCGTTTTTATTTTAACGTAGAACCCTGTTCTGTACCTTTCATTAAATTCCGCTGTGAAGCTTAGAGTTCGGCCGCTATAAATCGAAGATGCGGCGAGCGTCGGATTTCAGCGGCGCGTTCGATGTTCGTAATTGCCCCTTTATAGTAGTCTATGAAGTCACGCAATTACTTAATATAATGAGAACGGTGTGTGTTATGATTTAAGCGCCTGTAAGTTTCCCCGAACTTAATTATCGTTTCCCCGTTAATTAGATTGTTTTACGTTCGTGTGAAAAAAATGAAAAGAAGAAAACGAAAAAAAAAAAACCTACAATTACTTATATATCCGGATTACTGTTGCGGAATAAGGAGAATGATTGAATTTTCTACTTAAATTAAATAACGAAATATAAATAACTAAATTGTCACGCAGTAAACGATCGATACTTTTATACACCTCGAAATTTTGCGACAGGTGCTTTCTTGATCACTTACGGTATTGCGATGCTGTTCTGCGGAATCCCCATATTTTTTCAAGAAGTCGCTATCGGACAATATCTCGGAGCTGGTGGAATGTCGTTAGTGGGACAACTGTGTCCCCTCTTGCAAGGTATTCTAACTCCTGACATTATGTATCCTTAAAACGAAAGTAGATATGTCAAACGATAAAGTAGTCATTGCGCAATATATTATTTCTACAATAATGTGTATCGTAATTTATCGTCGTTTATTTCAGGTGTAGGATATGCCACGATGACCATTGTATTCTTCCTCGACGTGTACTATTGCATAATTATCTCTTGGACACTTTTCTACCTCATAAGCACGTTTGTGAATTTACCCGAAGTACCTTGGAGAGGATGTGGTGAGCGACATGTTTCTTAATATACAGGATGGGGCAATAACTTTTATTAGGACCTTAAATATCTTCGAATCTATAAGACCCAGAGGAAGATTTGTGTAACCAAAATTGCACGGTACGAAGGGGGCTATCATATAGCGATAATAATAACTTTTGTCCAGGTGGAGGCGCTTCATTTGATGATTTTAAAATTTCCAAAAATCAGCAAGTTAACAAAAATCAAGGCGCTATTGCAACAATATATTCTTGAAACTAAATAAAGCAAGAAAGTCTAGTACCACTTTTTTTTCCGACAAACAGTTAGCGAGATACCGTAAGTTAAATATTGAAAAAGTTATCAAGTTTTCCTCTCAAATATCTCAAAAAATATTAGGCAAATAAAAAAATGTTTTAGACAAGAGTTGTTCAAATTAATTGGTAGAAAAAGACTGTGTAATAAAAAATTAGAGTTCCCATTTAAAAACGCAAGTTGACCTCGATATCTCCGAAGCGCCTCCACCTGGACAAAAGTTATTATCGCTATATGATAGCCCCCTTCGTACCGTGCAATTTTGGTTGCACAAATCTTCCTCTGGGCCTTATAGATTCGAAGATATTTAAGATCCTAATAGTTATTGCCCCACCCTGTATATACTTTTACACGTGTATTGAGAGACCAAGTTATTAAACACCTAGACATTTTTCAAATATATTTGGAAATTTCTATAATATTTTGTAGAAAGATAGAAAAAGTAAAAAAATGAAGCGATTAGAAGTACTCAGTAGTTTTCACTGCATTTTTAAAATCATCATTCGTAGAAATCATTATAATATGACCGCTAGGCGTTTCCTTTCTTTTTTTCTGTTATCGCATCCGTCCCCGATCGTAAAATGTACGTTCATCGCAGAACGTCTCGTTACTCATTTCAGACAATTGGTGGAACACGGATGATTGTTTCGACGCGACTGAAGGAAGCAAAAGTATACACGGAAGAACAAACTACACAACTACCATCGAAAATAATACCTGCCACCACACTACACCGGTGGAAGAATACTGGGAGTAAGTAGAGCGCTTTCGGAAAACGGTACACCGCTCATTGTACAGAACTGCTGAATCAAACAGCTTCAAGTTCAACTCCCTCTCGCTCTCTAGTCCCTTTCTTCCCGTCTCCTTTGAGATTCGGAGACTTTTCAGACTCACAGGAATTTGGTCGTTATTGAAACAGTATATACGTACGATATGTACAACGTGTGTATCCCTTGAGATTTTTATCACGCTCGTGATGCAAATTGTAAAGTACCAAGGGATTCGACGGGGATAAGAACCGGGAAACGCGACATTGATTTTCCTAAATCGGGTCAGAGCAACTTCACTCGCGTATAAATGCACTTACGTAACGCACAATATCGACGACAGCAACACTCCCGCGGGAGCACGTAGCTTATACGCGTGCATCGCGAATTTGTTGATTTTTATCAGGCTAACATGAACACGCTGGATTGGATGTGCCTCGAGTAAGAGCCATTCTAATCACTTCGTGTCGATGACGATACGAGATACGAGCAATCCAATCGCAGCGCGACGAGGCGCGATCAGTCGTTCCAATTTAGTTCGATAATTGCGCGCAACATCTTATTATAGATCAAGCTAAATAACAAAATGACGATAGAGATTCTTCACGCGTCGACCACTGTCCTTCACATCTAATATTAACCCTTTGAGGTCCTGTGTCGAGTCTACTTCGACACCACGCGTTTCGTTCCAGTCGATTTCGTTCCCAACAACCAATTTTTTTACACGCACTAATATTATACTCAATATGAGTTTATCACTGCAAATGTGTGTCTCTCTACATCAGTATATCCAAAAAATATCCACGAAAACGTAAGCCACTCTCCCAAAATTTTTTGGAGTGAAATTTCACTCGAAACAAGTGACAATTTCGCTTATATCATGTTAATATCATATTATTATATTATTAGAGTATATAATATAATATAAATATATCGTATTATATTTGTATTATAAATTATATAATACAAATCCGATAAAGGCGACAATGAAATAGCCTGCCATTCGAGAAATCACCAAAGTAAATATTTCACTGAAGCTTAAAGTGGATTCTCACACGAGCGAACATTTCAATCCATTAGAGTGAATTTGTTCCTGTCACGGTGGAACACATTATAGATTCGATCTTCAATTTCGTGTGAAAATATTCACTCGACTATTACTCGAGTGGAGAATTCACTCTGTATAAATGAAAAGTTATTCAAATTTAAGTGACTAGGCTATCATTCTGTAATACTTTTCGAACGAAAGTTCCACTCTAAGAGAAACTTAGAGGGCACTCACACGCAACACACAACGTCCCGAAATAATCAAATTTTGAGTCGGCTGGAAAGAGACGCACGAAGATAATCCGAGCTACCGACTCGTTTAATGTCGGTGTTTTTATTTAGATCCACGTGCGGGGAACGACTTTGAATATCGAATTGCTGAATTTTCAGGCAACGAGTTCTCGGCATTACATCCGGCATTGAGACTATCGGCAATATCCAATACGAGCTTCTGGGCTGCCTGGTTGTCGGCTGGCTGCTCGTTTACTTTATCATCCGGCGCGGTCTTCATCAGAGCGGTAAGATCATCTGGTTTTCAGCCTTGTTCCCGTACGTGGTGCTTTTCATTCTTTTGGGAAGAGCGGTGACGTTGGAGGGTTCCTACGACGGTTTGCTTTACTACGTGACGCCGCGATGGAAGGAATTGCTCACGCCCGGGCCATGGATAGACGGCGCTACCCAGATCTTCTTTGCCTACAGTATTGGCACCGGTGCCCTGCCCGCCTTGGGCTCCTATAACAAGTTTCATCACAATTGCTACAGGTAAGGGACGCGCATCCGATCGTACGGATCGGCGCCACGGCGGAGTTGCCCCCGTAACGCGTCACTTGGCCGATCGGAAACCGATTTCCCATCGGCGAAAATATCGATATACGTTAAAATAGTTTTCATGCGATTAGCGACGAGGAACGTTTCGCAAGCACCGATAATAAGGAGCGTGAAAGCGTGCGCTTCCGACGATAAAGTCGGAAGTTAATTTCTTTCGATGCGGTTTGCGGGTTCTTGTGCGCAGCTTTCCCCGAGCTCCGCACGACTCGAGTAAGCCACGTGTCGCCGCTTAACACTTAAGTTATCCCGGACCTTCATTGACCCATTATGCGCGCATCGTGAATTGCGCGAGTAGAGAAAACGTCTCGGTAATTGTTTGGCTTTAGTAGCGGTCGATTCTTTAACCACGACGCACTCCACACAGTGTCGTCGCTGCTGGAGTCTTTCAAAATGGGAGTTTTGTCTTGCAGAGACGCAATAATCACTTGCGTAGTCAACACCCTGACGTGTCTTCTGGCCGGTTGCGTAACCTTTTCGATACTGGGTCACATCGCCCAGGAACAGCAAACGCAGGTGTCCGAGGTCGTCAAGAGCGGGCCTGGTCTCGTGTTCCTTACGTATCCCGAAGTCGTTCTCAAGCTACCCGGTGCTTCCTTGTGGGCCATTATATTCTTCATTATGCTGCTCGTAAGAAATTATTATTCCAACGGCGGCATCGGTCGCTGCTGCCGCCGTCTCTATGTTTGTTAACGCGCGTCGCTATAAGCAAGGGAGGGCTCGGACACCCGTTGTCCCGCCCTCGGCGGGAAACTTCTCTCAAAGCATCACGATCTAATCGATATCGTACTATTTTGCTCTTCCGCCGAGAAAACGTTGGCGTTGAGATGCGTTCACACATGAAACAAGATAAATATTAAAGTCGGACGATTCGGAAGATAAGTCTAAGGGAGTTTTCTCTTGCTTTCGGTTAATCGCTCGAAGACTTCACGTCAGGCCTTATCTACCGAATCACCTCATTTTATCACGCTATTCAATATTTATCTCGTTCGCTGGGTCAGAGGGAGGGGAAGTATTTACAGACAAATTCACGTCAATGCAATTAACAAAATCCGATGATGCCACTTGCGTTTTGTGCGATCCTGCGAACTATTTGCAAGTTCGATGTTTCCCAGTCCGGCTTTTTCTCACATGAATCCTACCTTGCCTTTTAGCCTGTGGCACGTATCATTGATTTTATGAAATAATAATCTACTCTATGCCCAAGATCGATTAATAATAAGAGACCACTTGGACAGATCGATTAGAGTGTAATTAGAACATGATAGTGGCTAAACTTTTCGTGTAATACCTCAAGCGTATGAAGATTCTGTACGAATATCACTTCACTCTCACGCAGATACTCGGCATCGACAGTGAATTCTGCATCGTGGAGTCTTTCATAACGGGCATGGTCGACTACTGGCCGGATCGACTTCGTCCTCACAGAATCAAGTTCACCATCGCCATCTGCCTGATAATGTTCGCCCTGGGAATCCCGATGGTCACGAACGTTCGTATCGTATACAATGAATGCGCAATTCCGCTCCGTTGGAGATTCAAACGCGTTGAAAAATTCATCGGGCAAAAGGCGATCGGGATCTGGCTTTTCAGGGTGGAATCTACATCTTCCAATTGATGGACTTCTACTCCGCGAGCGGGATGTCCATTCTGTGGGTGTGCTTCTTCCAGACGATCGCGATCTCATGGATATTCGGGGCGCAGAAGTTCTGCGACTGTGTGCACCAGATGATGGGCATTCGACTGAACAAGTTCTGGTACATATGCTGGGTGCTGCTCGCGCCGGTCATCATGGCCGTAAGTATCGTGCCGCGTTTGCGCTAATTATCACCCACATTTCGGTAACAACAAATCTCCGCCGTTGTCGTGAGAGAGGATTCAAGGTTCAAGCGGATCATTTCAACGAGTTCGCAGAGAATTTTCTCACCAAGCAGCGACACCACAGTCATAATTATCTTCACCCTGCTTACTTTTCTTCTTCTTACAGTTCATCTTCGTGTTTCAATGCGTGCAATACAAGCCGCTCAAATACGGCAGCAACTACGAATATCCGACGTGGGCAGAAATAGTGGGTGTGTGTCTGAGTCTGTCATCTATGATCTGGATACCGGCGTATGCAGTGTATTACGTGATAGTCACACCGGGATCGATCAAGGAGGTAAACCAGAGCTTGTCCGCGCGATATCGATCACACGCGCGCGCGTACGAAGAAATCGTCGCCTTCGTGTGTAACGACACCGCAATTACACAATTCCTTTTCTCTTCTAATTTGTTGTTGTTGTACCTTCTTCATTCCAGAACATCCTAAAGGGTATGCAACCCAACATAAAATCGCACGCGAAACTACCGAAGGGCGAGAAGTCGGCCGTGATACCGATGTCGGAGAGCAGCGCAGGTTTAATCACGAAAAATAACAGTTTCCTCAGTCAAACATGATTGGCGCTAGCGATCACTTTAAACTCGTGTTAGGGGAGTTACGTTTATCTTAAAAATAATATTTATAGTAAGATAAATATAAATATATATATATATATATACATATAAAGTGAGTCCAGCGCACACAACTGGGCGTTCAGTAGTAATTTGTGTCAAAGTGGACGCGTGTCGAACCGAACTCAGTTTCTTTCGTCTCGTATGCTCAGTTTCGCAGCGATCGTCACACACAGTTGTTTCTTTAACGATAAGTCGTATAGCATGACGTTTATTTACTGACGTATTTCTGGAATGTCAGAGATTCCTCTTGATCCTTTAATGGCTGGGGTCCGATCGTGGGCTTCCGACATCGGAACAATCTCGAGGATTCCCTCGTTTGAGAAAAAAGAACATGAGCTTTCAAAGTCCTCTCTTTCAGGTTCGTCTTCTCACTTCACCATCTGTCGAGATTCTCACACAGCGTCGAAGCGTAAATCATCATCTCGCGAATCGCGCTGAAAATTTCGTCATTCGAATGTCCCGTCGACGCGCAACAACCCGCACCAGCCGTTAAAGTTTTAAGATGGAGAGTTTCGGGTGACGAGAGAATTATTTGAGGAACGCGATTCAATGATTCGTATGTGTTGACCAAGCCGATAAGATACTCAGTAAAAAGCGTGTAATAAGCGGAGGGGGGAGTGCTTAGGGAGAGGCGGAGAATGTACTTTAGAAATAATAATAGTATACCGCTAGTATTCAGATACCTATTTATGGGGACAATTTAAAAGAAGTATATTTTTATATCGCGATCACGTCGCGATAATTGTATGAATTTTTAACGGAGAAATCGTTTGGTTGATGATTCCGACTGGTTTAACGCGATGGACGACCACCGAGATCTCTCGCGCGTACACGACGACGATGCACTCGCGAGGTGCATCAGACGCGGTCGAAGGGTCTCCCCGGCAGAGAGCGCATCGAGAGGTTCGCAGCAGCTCTACGAAGTATTACATAGAAGCATAGCGCGTAGAATATAAGTATGGGTACTGGCAGTTACTAAAATATACTCAATACACACCGAAGTACAAGTAAGACGTGGTAAAAGTCTAATTTTTGTTACTCGCGTTCGAATGTCGAAGTGGCTCGGCGCGCTCGTCGGGACGAGGCGAACCTCCGAGACTTCGACCAGTCGCGATCATCAGCCGGACCGTAGCAGAAAATGCGAGATATTTCTATTAACGAAGTTTTAGCGCAGTTTGCACTGCATTCTGCTCTTCGACAACACAACTTTTCGAGGATACCTTTTCGTTCCACGCGTTTCACACTTGTAGAGCGTGCGTTATGATAAGCGCGTTTACGATGTGACGCGCGTGTAGTTAGAACGATATATCGTTTTCCGCCGCTGTTTACTCGACCGAGAATTCAGTTCCCCTCGGGAGAAATCGATGTGCTAACGCCGCTGATTTCGTTACCGTTCCCCGTTTTGTACGGCTAAGGTACTTCCTTCAATGCGCAGAAAGTGCGGAAGAGCGGTTCAAGTTTGCAACTAACGTCACGAGCAACAAGCATTCCGGTGTCCGGGAGGACACGTCTAACAGCAGTATTTGATGAAACCGATGTTACATTTAGAGAGTATGTTAGAATTATTCGAATGATACTTTTATTCCGTAAGCGATGTTAAGCTGTTTAATCCTCTGGAGCAGAGTCTTGACCTCTCTATTCGATCGATTCGAACGTCAAAAAGTATCCTTTGTAAAAATTCACCACTGTACAAAGTCGAAATTTTAGTCTCATCTGATGATTTTTAATTTATTATATATTTTCGTCACTCGCGCGCGTAAATATCTGATTGTTCCTGAAGTTCTCGTTTGCCGACGTAAGGGTATATTTTTCGTTCGGAGGATTTCTCGTTTCGCTCGAAATACAAAAGCAATAAAGATAAAGATACACACACACACACACACACAGACACACATACGATACGAGGTGAGCGCTTTTTCAAATACCGGCCTAATTCTGTGCAGTATTTCCTCCTTGTTTAGCCTGTAGGGTACTCTTAATCGCGTACGCTATTTGTCGAAGTGTTACAATTGTTGACGTTGTACAATACTGAGAAGTAGCTGATAGCTTAACGCGACGTTCGTTTCTATTTTAGTACCACCGTTGTTGCGACGCAAAGTACTTCCAATAGTAAGGTTAAGAAGCGAGCGATATTATAAGCCAGTTGGATCTGCGTTGAACAACATGCATTCGTAAGAAAGAAGAAAAAAAAATGAACGGCAAGATTGATTTGTGTAATTACGTTTTCGCGCTCGATACATCGGCAGAGTCGCGATCGGTGTATCTGAAAATCGGCGGTGCGAGAGACCCGACGACGACTGTTTCGCGAACGATCGCACCGCAAACGTGACGTTCGCAAACGTGACGTGCCGGCCGCGAATCGATCATTCCGTTATCAATCGACGAGTTCAGTCCAGTGACACACGCGGTGACATACGTATGAGAAAAAAAGATTCTTTCACAGCCGTCTCACGAGAGCAAAGGACAACACTGCGACCGTACGCGTAACGTTGCAAACACACTTGTTCAACGCATGATAAGCGTGATAAACGTGTTTTCCACATGACTGTATCTTATAGGTGTGACTCTATGTGACGTACCAGCGCAACCGTGGATTGTGCTGGCAGAAATTTTACGCTATTATACTTGTTTCACGGTGATATCCGCGTGAACGCTCGCGCGACCGCCGCGGACCGTTTGGCGATCGTCGGCGCGAGTGACTCGATTAATAATGGCTCTATGAATCGGTGTTCGCAGCTAGAAGAATTCGTACAAAGAATTAAGTGTTACACGAATTATATTTCTATATGCATAAATATAAATATAAATATAAATATATATATATATATATATATATTACGTGCACGTTTTATATACGGCGTATTATAATATGTACGAAGAGAATCAAAAAAAGGGAAAAAAAAAGAAAAAGAACGAGAGATCTGAGCCCGAGCAGTATTGTTTTTGTAAACAGAAATTAAATGCGATTACGAAGGAGAAACGAAGCTGCCCTTTCATTGCCGCGAGATTTGCCCGGAATCTAAACGAATCCTTGATTCTCCGTTCTTACGCGTTCGACGCACGACGAGAGGAACCGCTTGAGTCGTTTTTACGTTGCACATTGCGTGAGATTGTTATTGGGGATTTACGCACGCACATTTACTTTCAAGTGTCTCGCGAAGCACGTATACGATTTTCTATCGAACCTTACTGAGATTGCAAAATTTCGTTAAATGTTAAAGTACGTTTAGATTTAGAGGACGTAGATTTGTTGTCATTTTAGAAGATAAACACTCGACGCACTTTATCATGGAACGATAATGCCTCGGCTGCATTTCGAGGAAACTATTTTTCCAAAGCGACACGATACCCTCGATGTCGTGGTGTACGGATTGCAGGATTTATTCAGAAATTTTCCGAGATTCTCTGACCAAAATTTTCCGGGATAACGTATCGTATCGTAAAACTTATCGACCGCGTCATTACGCATTTACGGCGTATCTTGAGAGCCACAAACGTTTCTATGTTTCACGGATTATGAGAAATGTGTGACAGAGTGAGATAGTGTGTAAGAGAACTTTCAAAGACGTTTCCAAAGAAGCGGAGGTAGAAATTTGAGTCGCAATGTTGTACGTTCTCGAGAGTCACGAAATTCCTTTGAATCAGTGAGTTTATTTACTTTCGAAGCGATTTCATTTGGATTGAAACGCATTATTTGCGGTATATTACTTGCGAGTGTATATTTACTTAATGCATTGGATGTTTCGCATATTCACGAAATTATATATATGTTTCCGGCTAAATTGTAACGATATATGTACTTCAATAAATACTAACGCCTATCACTGTTTTTATTACTGATATATTTGCAGGCAACAAGAGAGAAGTGGTATATTTTCCCATTGTTTACACAATGGAAAAATATACCACTTCTCCATACCATTGTTTATACAAATATTTCCGTATATTCGTGCGCATTACATTCGCTCTCACATTGTTCATCTCCTTTAGTCTTTCCTTCTTTCTCTCTCTTTCTCTCTCTTCTTCTCTGCTGTGCTTTATCATAATTGAGAATCAGTGAGCGTTTTCAATGCGATTTATTTTCGTTATTTCGAATTATTATTTTTGCGATTATAGTTAATATTATCTGCGATATCTATGCGCATCATATAACACTCTATTTATGTACTTAAGCTGCTTTATTAAGCGTCTGCGACCACTTTCATCATGCCTTACGTTCAATATATCTAATGCATTAGCGAGTGATGTAATTAAATTTTTACGTATTTCGGTTTATTTCTTATGCGGATCTTGTTTCTCCATGTAATATTCAAATGCACGAGAATATCCCATTGGTATTCCTTATTCAAGTCAGTCTTTCTTAACTAATTGGGCTAACATGACATAATTGATCCGTACATTTTTGTGCTTTCTTTCAAAGCAAAAGTTATAGTGTATACAGATATGAGCCACAAGCTTCTAACTACAAATAATGTAATCTCCATGGGGTTCCGAACCTCTGAGTGTTAATAAAACTAGCTCTAACTCTAACTCTAACTCTCCCTCTCTCTCTCTCTCTCTCCCCCCCTTCTCTCTTCCGTTGCATAATTATTATGGACAGTTGCGAGCAACAAACACAAATTAGGAGCGTCTGTTATTAACCGCATATAACTGTTAACATCGCCATTTGTAGCAAATATCTTGATTGCCAATAGGAACGTGCGTAGAATTACGCACAGTGATCAACAAGCCTGAACCTATATTATATAACGTATATAACGATAATTCAATTCGCAGCGATGAATACATACATATACACATACATACATACATATATATATATATATATATATATATATGTGTACTTTGTAGAGGACGTAGAGAATGATTGTGATTCCTTTGAAATTTCGCCCCGGCAGGCTGGTCGCTAAACAAACGCATATCTCTGCGCTAACGACGGGAACGTCGAAATAATCACGTCAAATGAATACACAGTTGCCGTGCTCTTCCGTCTAGACGAGAGCATTCCTAATTTCCGGTGAATCGCAACGTCTAGTCTAGTCGTCGACTTCCACCGTCAACGCGCGACGCGCTCGCGGAAATTTCCGTCGTCTCTGCCGTCGCCTCGACAAATGTCGAGAACAAATTACCCGACACGATATCTCTCATGCCGCCCTATCGCGACGATGAAAATGTATTTCGACCGATGGCCGCGGAATACCGCCTTCGTCGCGGATATGAAAGCTTGGCGAAGCGAGCGCCCACGCGATTCGCCTCATTCCGAGCCCTGTATTTCGCGCCTCTCGCATGTCCTCAACCTCGATTTTCCCTCATCTCACGGAACAATGCGTCGTTCCGTGGCGTGTTTTACGACAGCTAAAGATGACGACGGAAGTGAGGCGGAGGAGTGCGCGCGGACGATGCTGTGTGCTCGCGCCTCGCCTCTGTGTCGTCTGCCTCGTTGAACCCGATCGTTAAGCGTCCTTTTATTTTGCAACAGCGACTATTATTACGGCTGTGCCGGCGCATCCCCCATGGCCCATCCCTATTACCGTCGTTCCTCCGGCGACATTCCCTTTTACGTAGGTGCACGCCGTCGTTAAGACTTCCTTACGCTCGAAACGCTCCTCCTTGACCGTGCGACCCGCACGGCAGGATAAATAACGTTAGCGTAGCCGGCAGACAGGAACAAAAGCTGAGACAAGATGAAGCGAAAAAGAATGTAGTGCATCCTCCAGAGTCAGAAAAAGGCATGTCTCGCGTGTTTCATGTAAAATTTTCTGAATTCTTCCGACGTGAAAGAACGGCCTTGAGGAGTTCGATAGGTTTGACAGTTTCTTCTACATATTTCCTCAGCAACGAGAACCGTCTCGAAGGATATTTTTAAAACATCGATAAACGTTAAATTATTCTCGAGATATAACACGGGAATCGGAAGTTCTGCGAGTCGCGGCACTTTAATATTGAAAAAATAATCAAATGTCGAGGGAAGGGGGCTGGGGGCGTAACTTCTACCCGCTGATTAACCTCCTCAAAGTCCTGCAATTTTCTCCCTTAATTTAGTCTCCGAAAGGTTTGAAAAATTGCATAAGCCCAAAAGTTTGCGCGTAAAGGGTGTTGTCTCACTAGCCGTGTCATTTTTTTAAACTAACGCTAACTAGGATCGATGGCCGGAGAATGAAGCAGAAGCGAAACCTTTCCTCCTAATTAAGCGGAGCTAATTGCTCCGACGGTAAAATACGAGCTTCAACTTTCTTCCATCCGCAAATTATTTTTCGTTTATTTTCAGTCAGCTATTGCTTTTATTGCTATTTGGGTGCAAACTAGCGAAGACTCTCCGCGGCGAGCTTCCGCAATCTATCGAGAAAAATGCTGCTTTCGCATTCTGAATCAAGTTGTACAATATTAAATCTCGAGACTCCTCATTGGTCCTTCGAGTTGGACAGCGTTTGACGGGTCAATGAGCGACTACCATATTTCGACTCGAGCTGCGCTCTATAAAGAGGTTCTGACATCGAAAATTTGTAAATCCGTTCCGTTCTATTAAAAGACGAATGTAAATGTAAATGTTCGTCCGCTAAGCATGAGGTGCGGTGGTCGTTGATGAATATACATTTCGCAGTGTCCGATGACGTCGCGTGTCGCGTCTCGTGATGTATATATCTCAAGGCGGCCACCCCTATTTACGAACGATCGGATAAACACACCGTCAATGCGTCCTCTTTTGCGCCCGCGCGTCGCATGGAACGGGTCGAATCAAATGATATATCGCTCGCGTTTTTATCACAATATCGCCTCCCCGCGCACAAAAGGCCTTCGGCCGGTGAACCCGCGAGCGATATGAGGCTTAAATCAATGCGAAATGTCTTACAGTCTAATTCCAAAGTTCAATTCGCACGCGTCAAGTTCATTTACCGTCCGTTCGGCGGCTGATGACTTCTCAATTGATGACTTTTCACGACCCACTTCTACCTCTCGTAGCTCGAAGGAAAAAACGACTCGAAATTCGCGTGACAGCTCGGCGAGTGCGACGGAAAAGCTCTTGCATTCGAATACAAGCGCGTTGCTCTCTATTCGCGCGCGGAGTGTTGTTAACGAGGTGGAGAATGTTAATCAGCGTACGTGCGAGCTTATCTTAATGAAATTGTCCGTTACAAAATAATATTAAGTGCCTTTATTAACCGCACTTGTTAATTCTCTCTCTCTCTCTCTCTCTTTCTCTCTTTCTCTCTCTCTCTCTCTCTCTCTCTCTCTCTCTCTCTTTCTTTTTCTCCCTCTTTGTTTATATGATTTGTAAGGTGCAGCCGTGTGCTTAAAGACCTCGTTAAAAAGTGAAACATTACTCCCGGTGAAACACACGCACCGGCACCGCTAATTTCACGTTCGGGCGATAATCGTTGGCTGCGGTTTCAGCAAAGAAACGTGCGCAAAATTCAAAGCGCCATCAGTCCGTTGCGACATAAATTGTATTGTGCGTTATGCAAATCGCGCCGAGTCATTACAGCATACAGCCGATAGTGGCTGTATGTGAAAAGTGTACGCATGATAAATTATGGCGTGTAAAAACTATTCAGCTCGTAACGGTGACAGATAAAATTTCCGAGTGATATCGTGCCTCGAGACTTGTCGAGCGGAAGAAGATTTAGATTGTCAAGATTTAAATACTAAATCATCAAGTCAAGTATTAAATCAAACATGGAGAGAGAGAGAGAGAGAGAGAGAGAGGGAGAGAGAGAGAGAGAGAGAGAAAGAGAGAGGAGACGTTTAATTTATATCTCGTTTAAGTTGTCGCATTTCGCTTTTACGATGCCTCACATCTCAAATCTACGTAATATAATTACATTAAATTTTATTTATGATATTATTTCCGTCTTGGAGAAGCCGAGCTACAAATACAAGCAAAAATGATTGGTCCTGTTGCCGTTTTCCTGTGGCCATCGCGAATGGTTTTCGTGCTCTATATCCGTTATAATCCGCTTGCTAAGTTTAGCTATCGGAAAACCGAACGAAGGATAGCGCGCGGCCAAGCTATCGCGTTACAAGATTCGCGCTGCGAAAGGATAGCGAGTCGCACCTCGCCTTCAATTCCCTCCTCGTAACGTGCTTTTCGTGCCGATTAGGTGTTTATCGTACTCTCGCAACGACCTCGAAGAAAAAAGAAACAAGGAAGAAGCGCGCGCGCGCGCGCGACGAAGACGCCAACGTGCTACGGGCGCAGAAGTTGTATTATCCACTAGACAACTTCTGTATGAATCTGATTTTTCGTTCGGGAACACAAAGTTGCGTGAACTTTAATGATCTGTCCTTTAAAAAGCGCGGGGATCTCTTCATTACGGCCCCCTCGATAACGCGATTCGGTTTTATCTCGCTAATTGCATAAAAAGGAACAATGAAAAAAAAAGAAAAAATACAAAAAATTAAGTTTCGACAATACAAGTGGAGTCGAGTCCGTGATAATTGCTGCGTAACAATACGCGAAGCAATATCCGTTTATCTTATAATTAAATCTGCGTCTCGAAACCTCGTAATGTCGCAAGCCACGTTGCGGCCGGCGGACCTCCGACATGAGAAACGTCAGGGATGGGGACAGTCGCTACAAATTGTATAACTTGATGAAGGTGACTCATCAGCAAGCGTACACGTTAAATCGCGGGGATGTCGGGCGGTCGGGACGGCGAGCCGAAGGAGTATCACGCAATGCGTCGCGCAATCAATGATTCAGCCGCCTGTGCGAAAGCGTTCCTCAGATTGCTCGTCGCTCCCGAATTCCGCGATGCCGGGCGGGTTCCATATTTTATGCGAGTTATCGCGAGTTCACAAATAGACTTAGATAAAACGAATA